AGCACACACAAGTATATATGTTTTTTTTTTGTATATATATATATATATATATATATATATATATATATATATATATATATATATATATATATATTGAATTAGACATGATTAATACACAATGCAGGATAGCATTCACCATATGTTCACACATTTACATCTTCCTGTGAGAATTAATAGGAAAGACTAACCTTTATATTTTATGCAAACCCATGCTAAATAATGCAAGATGAATTGCATGGTGGTGTGTGTATCTTTTATTGTGTGAGTGCCTAATTAGTGTTTTTATATACACAGATTTACCCCCTATGACTATTGCTACATACTGTGAACATTAGGTGGAAACAACTAATGTCATGTGTAAAGGAATCGTTCCCATCCATTAAGGTGGAAACGATTTTAAAGTATGACTGTGTGAGATATACCAACAACAAAGCATGATTATATTAGCTCTTGTCAGGTGGAACAGCATTTTATATTCATAATTAAAATGTCAGTCTCATACTTCTAAATTCTTGGATCCACTCAGTTGCTGTTTAGGAGACCTTCAAAATCAAAACCGTTGTGGCTCTTTGTCATGCTAATTTATTATTATGAAATGCCAAACGCTAAAGAAACTATTTGAATTAACTAAACCAGCTAATTTCCCCTTAATATCAGAAAAATAGAAAAGGGAGGAGAATGGAGAAACTTTGAAATTTTGCTGCTTGTGGAACAGAGAAGCTAAGACAGCAGTAGAAGTTAACTCGTCAATGAAGCAGTTCTTCCATGAAATCTCAATAAGCAGCACTGTGATGAAAAAAAGTACTTGCCCTCCTACAGATCTTGTTCTGGTTTTCATCTTTTTCTCCAGTTAATATTTTAGATAAAAGAAAATGTAATATCCAAGACAGAACGAGAAAAAGCTTCCAAATTATGATTTTTATTTTTCATGGAAAACAGCTAGTCTGTAAACGTAATAATGGGTTGCTCAAACCATGATGGCAACAACTGCTATCAAGTGTAAACTGCCAGTTAGTCATTAAAATTGTGTGGAGGAGTTTTGGCCTACTCTCCTTTGCAGGATTGTTTTAATTAAGCTACGATGGAAGTTAGCCTATCAAATTCATGTGCAAATTTTCACAAACCACTCAAAACTTTCATGTAGTGTTTAGATAAAAAAAAAAAAAAAGTATTGTCCAACAATTCTTACACTGTAAATAAGGAAATACAATTAATTTGAGGCACAAGTGTCATGTTTCGGAGTATTTCATTCAGCATTGGTTTGTATTGGATCAGCTGGGGGGAAAATATCTGATATAACTGCATAGGTGAGACCCGCTGACTGTAAAGAGTGCAGGTAAGGTTTAAGTTTTTTGACACTTACCAAAAGATTTCATCATATACAAGCACATGTTTTAGTGAGAGTTCAAATTGAGCACCAGAATGGTGAAGAAACCATTTCTTGAATTTACAGAAAATGGTCAGAAAACGATAAAATATTAAGTGAACAGCAGTTATGGAGACGAAAATGCCTTGTACATGTCAGAGGCTTCCGGGTTAATACTGGCAACGCTGAAGATTCTGACAGAAATTAAATGCCTTAACCTTGCCTGGAGACAAAAAGTTGGATCCTAGACAGGATGTCTTGTCTTGAATAGCATTATGCCAATATGTGCAAGAATCATATATGTGCACTTATTGGCCCCAACACAATGCCTGCAGCTACAGTCATAGAATTGTATTGGGAGGATTTGCTGAAATGATTGTCTAAGCCAGTTTGATATTGTACTGCAAGCTCTTTCAACTATTTCAAATCTCTCAGTGCTGTCATTTGGAATCTGTTCTTTGTTCCCTCAGACTATTATTTCTTGGATGGGCATCAGTTATGAAAGGCACCAGTAGCTCAGATAGCTTTACCACCAGGAAAGACCTTATACACATCAAACTTGAAGCAGAAGAGCCAGAGCAGACTGACTGCAACAGGAGACTGAGATAACAGTTCACACAAGATCGCCACAATAAAAAAATTACAGATTGGAAAAATGTTGGCTGGTCCAATGGGTGTTAATTTCAGAAGCAACACTGAGATGGCAGGGTTGGAATCCATGGATGGGTCCATCCTGTGTTGTATTGGCTGCAACAGTTTACACTGCTGGTGGTGGCAGAATGGAGATGGAGGCACAGTTTAGGCAAATTAACACCAAAACCTGGCTGAATATTGTTGTTAAGGTTAGTATAATTCCCTCAGCATACACTGCTCCAGAGCAAGTTATGAGTTCAGCATATATTGCATGAGACAGATTTTGCCTGGTTCAAACATTCATGATATGATTTTCTGCTCAACATAGCTGGCTAAGCATTTAATCTTCCTTTCGTATGCAGCCCTGAGGCCAGGGAGTGACTGTGTTCAGCTCACTAAACAAATAGTCCCATAAAGTAAGCTACACAGCAAGGAAATCTGATTTCTATTTCTGGCTTCCAGCCCACACTCCCACAGACTGTGTGACCAAAGTTTTTTGTTTTTTTTCCCCCCCTGCTAATACGCTACAATGTTCCATTGCAAAACTATGCAGTTTATGATGGGTTGTTTAGTAATTTACATCAAGGTTTTCATGATAACGCCAATCTACTGAAGTACTCAAATACATTTACATTCCATTAATAGTTGGTCAACTGGGTGTTTTTATCCACACTGGCTTGAACGCAGAGTGAGATACCCTGAAATATTCAAAATAGTCTGCACAGAGATTTCAGCCATCGTACCGCGAGGGAGAAAAAGAGCTGCTTTAATCTTGTCAAAACATGAAAACATTTGATGCACTGCTAGACAATATCTCTGGAAGGTCACAGGAATTTTGCCAATTTTAAGAACCAATTAGAACCACTGCACAACCTTCAACATTTGAACACTTCAGACAGATAAATCCTCTTCTCACTTCATGACACACACACAAAGAATCTGTCCTTTTAATCACTCTGCTTATGCTTCTGCACGGTGAAGCTGTTCAGCGCCGCTGCTGAAGGTCTGCATGTTTGTTGATTCATAGTGACATTTCACACATAAAATCTGCAACCTGGTTCACAGGGTGGCTCAGGGGATGCCTACCCCCGGTGTGCGTCACCTGTCCGCCCACATTAGAACCTGTCACATCACTTAAGCACTGCAGTACTGCACACTGGGTATAATAAGGACAGATATGTATTTGTGCTTACATGTTGCTGTGTGGGAGTTGGTCTTGGGCAGAACTACTTCATCGTTATTAGGAAAAGTGGAGTTTCACGGAAACTTAATGAGTGGAACAGTCAAAAAAAAAAAAATGGTGAATTGTTTTTTTTCCAGGAAAGACTGCCAAGATGTGAACTAATCAAGTGAAGTGCTCTCAAACCAGGTAAATGCTCTGAATCATATGAAATTTGAAAACATGCTGTACTAATGGGTGAAATGCAACTACCAGAGTCTGAGACAAATCTTATTTGCCTGAAAAATGTCTTCCTAGGGATTTGTAAAAAAATCAAACGGCACATGCAACAGAATTTTGTAGATACGATACGAACCAAATAAAGAGCCCAGAGCCACGTTCGCCCAGACACACAAAAATATTCACACACCAGTGCATGGATGGGTAGGCACCTTGGAGGTAAATGCCTTGCCCAGGGACACACCAACATGTGGCAGAGGATGAAACTCTAATCAAACCCACAACTTTTTGACTGCAAAACAAAAACCCTTTCCATTACCCTCACACCTAAACACATTAACCCCATTAAACCCTCAATCAGGTTGTTACACCGTCGACATACATTCCCCAGGTACTTTATTATGAACACCTGTTTAATTGCTTATTAACATAAATGACAAATCAGCTAATTACATAGCGGGAAATCTATGCATATAGGCATCAAAGACAAGATGAGGACAACTTGGTGTTCAAACTGAACATCAGAATTAGGAAGAAAGGGGATTAAAGTGGCCAAATGTGGCATTGTTGTTGGTGCCAGATGGACTTTGTTATTTCAGAAATCGGTGCTCTTCTGGGATTTTCATCATCATCATCTTCTTCTGGGCTGGCTGAGAATGATCACAAAATAGGAGATATCCACTTACAGGCAGTTATGCTGGCAAAAAAGTGTTGTTGATGTCAGAAGTCAAAGCAGAGTAAGACTGCTTAACAATATAATTGCAAATACTCTGTAATGTCTAACAAGGTTATTTTTCAAGTCAAAAATATCATACATTGAAGCTAGCAGGCTGTAGCAGCAGAGGAATGCCGCTCCACATGAGAAAACAGGAATTGAAAGGTACTATTCAGACCTGGGCAAAAACACATTTAAAAGCATCTGGTCTGGTGAGTGTCAGGATTAAAAATTGGTGCAAACATCATGAAACCACTTCTCCATCCTGAATTGTGTCAGCAGTTCAAGCTGGTGGTGGTGTAATGATGTGGACGATGGGTTTTGGCTCCGTTTGGGGCATTTAGTACCAGTTCAGCATCGTTCAAACACCAAAACCCACCTGAATATTGTTGCTGCTCGTCTCTTTCCTTTTATGATCACAGCATACTCATCATTTTAAGGCTACTTCTGACAAAATACTGCACCACACCACAAAGCTAAAAATATCAACTGGATCCTTTAACATGACATTAGTTCATTGTGGTCCAAAGGCCTCCACCTTTTGCAGTTTGGAGGAATGAAAGAGTTACACTATGGATGTGCAGCTGACAAAATGTTATCTCTGAGGTCCAGACTCGCCATGAAAGCCTTGAACAGGATCCAGAATGCATTCCTTAAACAGAAAGGAAGAAGCTGTAATATGGCTGCTTTGAGTCTGCACCCAGGATATATTGTTTTGAGATTATCTGTGGAGAATCAGAGATATCAACATGGGACATATTTACATGGGTTCTCTTATTAACTGGATTAATCACATATTTGTTTAAATTAAGTAGGATGTGTTTTTACTTGTGGATGGAACAAGTAAAATAATAAGTATCTATTCATTAAGTTAAAATGAATGTTTGTTCTTCTTAATCTTTATTTATTGGGCAAATGTTGCATAATCACAAATAGCAGCACTTAAAAGAGGAAACCAGCTTTACATGCACCAGCCACATGGGCTATAGAGTAAGACTAGCCTATAAATTATGCTGATCATCTGTCAGACAAAAGAACCCATGACAATAAGCAAAAAAACTGTTTTACAAAATATCAATCCCTTATTCTTATTTTTATCTTCATGACTTTTCTACTCAGTTCAGGTGATTTCATCTTCTCACAGATTTGCTTATGCAGAATGTACTCTTGCACAAACTCTCTGTACGTCTTTCTTCAGATGGCAGAATCTTGCAGAAATAGCTAAAATGCCAGAGGCCTTAAATTTTTATTTAAAGATGTTTTGTAAGACAAATTATATATCCACGCTTTGCTGACTGACTCAGCTTTGTAATATAAGGTCTGGGAGTCTAGTGAGTCGAATTCAGCGCTGCTATTCGTGACTGTACATGCTGTGATACTCAACTTTCCTTGATGGGCACAAATTTGACATAAAGCGAACACAAACACTGAGAGCCGTGCAACATATGAGTCACTCTGCAGTTACAGTACATTGGAAAGTGCACATTAAACATGGTTCGCTAAAGAAATATTCAAACAGTGGATGGGGAAGAATAACGCAATTATGAGAATAATTCAATGTGAAAGCCTAATTTGTGGTGCTTCGGGGAATTCGTCATGGTAAACACAGTTTAATTCAGCCTTAAAATTAATTTAATCAAATTCTATTTGATTTCCATAAAGCCATTTTAGAAGAAGGATCATGTTAGGGTATTTTTACAAAGGAGGTTTAACTGAACTTGAACTGTATGCAAAATGATTTATTATAATAGAATACGTCCGTCCACTTTCTGAACTCACCACTTAATCTTGTTAACCCTCTGGAAACGAAAGTTATGTCCCTTATTTTATCTCTCCTCATTCAAGTAATTCAAGTTGAATTTTTTTGTTCAATGGCGACCTTTAACATCCCACTAAGGGAACTGGTGTTTAGTTTATGGCACTTTTAAAAAAAATAAATGCCACACCATTACTCAACTTGTTATACATTTCTGGTGCCTAAAACGGGCTTGTCTGAGTCAAAGCTTTGTAAAAGTAGTGCCATGTATGAAAAATGATGGACACATTTGAAATATATGCCAAAAATTAAACTTACAGATGTAATTTACAAAAAAATAAACAAATTTAACTCTTATTTTCATGTACCCAGAACTACAAGAATGCTCCAAAGCTGATTTTATTTATTTTTTTAAATCAGACCTATATCTGACAGATGTATGAATAATTCTGGGCCAGCTCTATGTTACTAAGAAGACATAGTCATTTTCAAATCAGCAAGGAATTATTTCCTATTGAAAGATTACTCTTCTGACCTTTTTCATTAGTTCTAGAGTTCCACTCAATCAGACAGAAAACAACAAAACTGGAATTACTTGAAAAATTTACCTCCTGTGAATATTATAAATATTTTACAAGCAGTGGCACCGAGTATTTAATGATCACTGAATAATAAAGTGAGGTCATGATTTGTTTCTCATCCATTTCATGTATATGACCGTCTACTGTTACAAAATAATAGGATATGTCATTATATTTAATCAGGAGCGGATTTGATTCTCTTTAGTTTCCATGTGATTAAATATATAATGTTCTCCTTTGAATGGACCCCATTCAAGATGAATGTGCTAAGTATAGGAACGTTTTATGCAACAAGCAATATCTTTTAAGGAATTGCCTTTTCTGTTTACTCCTCTTTGGCTTACAAAGGTCAGACCAATTTAAACTGGAGGCAGGTGCCGGTCACATTGTGTCAAATTCTGAGAATATTTGGATAAAAAAAAAAGGGAACAAGTGAGCCTTCACTGATGAAAACAAGTGTGTGAAGTCAATAAAATATTGATTATTTCATTGTGACTACAAAGTGGTGTTACTGCACAAACACACCTGAGATCAATTAGCCTGTGCTTCCTCTGCAGAGCAAAACGGTGCTGGTGCATATCTCCAGCAGCCATTGGGCAGGAGGCAAAGTACACCCTGGACAGATCACCAGTCCATCAGAGACACACAGGAGAAACAACCATCCACACACACACAATTTAGATTTACAGTCATGGTTTCGTACACCGAGAGAACCTACAGATACACAGGCAGAACATGGATGTCCATCAGGAAGGACCCCGATTTGGGAAGGCTTTCGTATTAAACCCCCTTTACTTCAATCTGGTCTGGTGTTGTTTTGATTTTTTAGAGTTTTCCTGGGTTTCTTTTTTTGATTATTAGCCGTTTCTGTTTTGCCTTAGTTATTCCTTGTTTTCTATTTCCTTGTATTGATTAAAACACCCTTTATTTTTTGTCACACTTTAATTCAACCACAAGCTAAGTAGCTCCAAAGCTAATCTGTTAGCTTTAGGTTTGCGTCCCAGAAGTTTAACAACACTGACCATACAGGCAGAAGGATGCTGGAGGAGATTAGATCAAAACATTATTTCTAAAATGTGGTTCAACCTCAGAGGGCTGGATAAAAGGCATGCCACACTTCTCAGATTTTTATTTGTAAAGATTATTATAAAGCAGCAGACATTTGGCTGTTATTTCAAAATGTTTCACCTTAGGTTGCGTAAGCTCATAAAGTGCCCAAAACACAAGTTTTTGTTTGTAGTGTAACAAAATATGGAAAAGTAGGAAGGGTATTTTTGCAAGATACTATCGATAAGCCTTGATGACGAGACAACCGAGCTCATTAACTAAGAGAAAAGATGCTATTCTCTTCCAAATGATGCAATATAGTCAAAGCATACTACATGATGGTTATGGCAAGAAAAACATTATGAAGGGAATCTATTGGATGCTGGCACAGATGGGAAAGAAACTCACAGCATGATAATAGCACTTCAGCTGTCAAACTGTCACATTCAGCATTACTGACACATGGTCCACCTACCTTCCTCTGTTTCTCTCTGATAGGTGGAATGACAGGCAGCAAGCTAATTTGCTCAGCGCTCTGTATCCGAAGAGTCTGGAATCGCTGGGAATTGTCCAGCTGGGCGAGGTTTTAAAAAAGAAGATGCAAATTTGAACAGCAGAACATCTCAAATCAGTCAGTCTCTCTGATGTCTCTGGGAACCACAAGCATAAATACAGCAGGAAAATAAGTATTGAACTTGTCAGACATTTTCCCACTAAATATATTTCTAATGGGGCTATCGACGTGAAGTTCTTACCAGATGCTATTATCCGCCCCGAGATTCCACACATACAAAAAAAAAATCATCACATCTCAGTCCATAAGTAAGGATATGTGTAATAAAGAGAAATAAAAGTCACTCATGATGGTGATTACTTCTTCCAGAGGCCTCTTCTATAAACTCTGATTAGTACTTTAGTTTTCAATTGGATTCAGAGCAGGTGATTGACTGGGCCATTCTAACCACCTTACTTTATTTTCCCTAATCCTTAATGTTTTCTTCACTGCGTGTTTAGGATATTGTCTTACATAAAAATTCACCTTCATTTCCCAGTAAATTCCTTTAGTCATCATTCAGTTAAATTTGCTCCTCTGATTACATTCACTAGAAATAAAAACAGCTCCACACACCATGATGTTCCCACTTCAAAACATCACTATTTCCCGTTTCGGTTGATTTGTAATGTAATTTCTCTTCCAAACATAGTCCATGCAATGACATCCAGAGAGCTCATCAATTTTTGGGACCTCTGGCCGAGTATATTTATTTCCCCATTGGTTTGTCCAGATGTTCTACAACAAACCTAAGGTTCTTGGACCACTGCTCTAATTTTTTTTTAATTATTATTATTATTTTCAAGAGACCGCCCAGCGATTGTTCTTATTGTATTGTCCCCATAGAGGAAATATGTTTTGGATATTGTGCACTAAACAAAGCTGCTTGTAGCGTGTAATTAAACACACAACAAACACACTACAAGCACTAAATACACATACACGACAATAACAACACAACACAACACATAATCCCCCAACAAAAACACATAATATTGCACCTTCCTGCATAAATTCCAAACGTGATATGAAGAAACCTTTTAAAATCAGCCAATATAATAACTTCCACTGATAGGAATCAGCAGTGGAGGTTAATGCAGTAATGTTTCTTCTCTCCTTGTCCCATTCCACTCCCCATAGTACCTAAACATACATATTACCTAAACATAACCAAATACACATATTTTCCACATGCATACCAATCAGCAAATAAAGAAAAATGCCAGAAACTAAGAAAAATAAATTCTTATCCTACAGTCTTGTGTTTTCCAGAAAGAGTGCATATGGCCTGATTATATTGTGAGGTTTTCATGTTTATCTGTTGTTGGTGACTTTCTAAGTAGACCTGTGAAGGTAATGTTCCAGTAATCAAGTTATTCCATCTGTAGCACACCTGCATGGATGGGTTTCTAAAGATTTTGTTGGCACATTTATCATTTAGTCCTAGAAATGTTCTTCATGCGAAAGAAGGCTGATTTTGTAATCGGGTTCATGCGTCTCTGAAGGTCCATCCTAAACCTTCAGAAGTCTGTGTAAAGTTCATCTCTACACAGAGATTTTGGGCATAATCAGTAATAACTAAAGGTGTGTGCTACAGATGGAATAAAGTTTTCATAAATCATATTGTGTTTGAAATATTCAGTATAAAACTGTCCGGTGAATTTTTGATTTAAAATTTGGAATTCAGTTTGAGTACCAACCTCCCCGACCCCCGTTTTCAGGGCAGGGAACCGTTTCACACATTTAAAGAAACACCACAGGGGTTGGAGTTTGTTTCTTACTGGAGTAGTTCAAACTTTTTTTTATGACTTTCTTGATTTTTACCACTTTCTTCCTCATCCACTCGCAGATTTTATGCCTGCTTGTGTTTACAAAGTGTGAAGAAATTGATTGGTAACCCAAATGGGCAACAGTTCAGGCACAACTTAAACAGGTCGCTAGTCTATCACAGGGCAACTTCTTTCTCCCATATGTTTAATAAATATTCCTGGTTTTTATTCAGTTTAATCATATACCATGTGGAACAATTTGTTGTCTTTTCTTTGTATGTGTGGCTGGCTTGTGTTGTCATAAATATATGGTGTGACTTTCATGCCAAAAGTCCCATTAGAACTATATTTGCTGATATAAGCATTGACATGTTCAATCCTTATTTCAATATGCTGCTGGAATTTTTCGCTTTTACAATGCATTAGGACCGTGGGACCTTCACTTCAAACTTTCTTCTGGTGGATTATCCTCAAAGAACTGTCACTGATGGTTTTTTTTTTCCTAACAGAAATGAATAAACAACCTCCAGCAGTGACTTCACACATAAGAATTCAAAGTTGGCATGTCAAGTAGACCTGCTTCTGCTTAAAGGGGAAGGCATGCTTGTCTTCACGACTTACCGGCATCTAAATTAGAAGGGTCTTTTTTCTGATCCCCTAATCCTGGGAATCATCTCTCGTAGCAGCAACATGCAGGCAACCAACCGGTGTGTCTGTGACATGAGAAAAACATCAGTACTTTCGTCTGAAATCCTGACTCACCGCAGACGATAATGTTCACCTTGAGACGAGTGAGAGCGCAACAAAGATTTGGTTAACCCGGTGTTGAGGCTAAACACACACTGCCTGGGTTGTAATCTGCAGCATGTTGTGAAAGACTAACATCCTGTTTTAATCATGAGGACATCTTTTTTTTTTTTTTTTGTTAGCTGGTACTTATATGTGTATTCAAACGGGGGGGGGGGGAGGCACATACGGGGGGGGGTAAGAAACAGAGACAGACACCACTTTTAGTTACCAAGGCTCTGTGCTTTTATTTTTTTCCCCAGGAATGTGTGGATAAAAACAGCACTTCAATGATAACCTTGAAGCATCGAGCAGCGCCACATTCAGACTATGTGAGAACCCAGAAGGGCTGCAAACAAATCATTGGACCTGCAGGCTGCGTGTGAAATTACCTCCCTTTCTGCCTCTTTATTTCCATGAGTAACCCCTTTATGGTTTATGTTGACAGAATATTAAGGAGGCTGGCGGGGGAGGATGGAAGGAGCGTGCATGCATCACTCCATCTCCAAGTCAAAATTTATTTCCTCTCTCAGTAGGCCACTGCCTTCATGAATGAGATCCAAGTGAGCAGATTCGCACTTATCTTTCTGCTGGGACTCCGTGTTATCGCTGTACATGTACAGATGATGATTTCTCCTGTCATCTAAACTAGAATCTCTTCACCCTGGACATGGTTTCCTCTATCATGGCTATCAGTGTAAAAACACACCCTTTCCCCCCTTTTTAAAACTGCCGAGACAGCTGCGTGTCCTTTAGGAGTCAAATTAAATTTTCCAGATAGCACAGTCAGTCCCAGCAAACACTGTCTGATAAAATATATATATTTATCAGCATTCAACAAATATCACAACAGCAAATCGAGCTGCAAAACAACACGAGCTGCCTTGGCTCGGCATCGGAAATTCCATCAAACATTCATATGTTTTTCATGGCAAAGGAAAAGAACATGGGCTAAAATATCATCAAAGAGAAAAGCTGAGAAGACAGCTGGTGCACAAAACGGACAAGCAGTGTTTGCCTAATTTCACATAATGTGATCCAAATAAAGCAGCTGCTGACATTTATGTCACAGACTCAATTGTGAAGCTACATTGCTGGTGAAAATAATCACAGCTCTGAAACGGTTGAATATGTCTCTGATGCTTTGATGCAGCCTCTGATTCGATCGCTCTTCTTTCCCAGCTCTCATATGCAGTCTTTTGCAAAAGTATTTATATCCATTCAAGTGTTTCATGTTTTATCATTTGGTAAATGGTAAATGGGCTGTACTTGTGTAGCACTTTATCAAGTCCAGAAGACCCCAAATGCACGTGAAACTACATTCTGTCTTTCAACCATTCACGCACAGATTCACACGCTGATGATGGTAAGATACCACAATTTGGCCACAGCTGTCCTGGGGCAGTGTGACGGAAGTGAGGCTGCCATGCACCGGCGCCTTCATGCCCTCTGACCACCACCAGCAGGCAAGGCAGATGAACCGAGTTGCCCAAGGACACAACAACTGAGCTGGACGGAGCTGGGAGCTCGAAATGGCAAACCACTCAACTCCTACCTCCATCTCTCCCAGAATAAGACTTCAAATTTACAATTTTATTTGATTACTCGTAGTTTTTTAGTGGTAGTTCTAGCATTTAATGAGGTTCTGGAAAAATCTCTGTTACTGCCACCAACGCCTGTTACGAATGTTTTTTTTTTTTTTTTTTTCATTTTCTGGTGTTACGCAGCGAAAGTTGGCACTCAGACACAGAGTACATTACTGCTCACTCAATGAGAGGTCAGGGATTGACAGAATACTGGGCCTGGTCTTTTTTTCTAAGAAAAAAAAATAAAGAGTGCCTGCACATGTAAAAAAAAAAAAAAGCAATAGAAACTTGTTCAAATGACAGATGAATACATTTTTAAAATAGGTCCTTCAGTAACCCTCTTCTATTGTTGCCCTGGGCAACTACCAATTTTCCCCATGTATAAAAATACACAGGGGATAAAGTTGCAGGGATGTTCAGAGTGGGGTTATATGTTAGTGAAATTTAAACTTAGGATACATTCAACACCTCAAGCTTTAAACTTCTGATAAAGCATCATTCAAACACACGTTTCAGCAAGGCAAACTACCTCCAGTGAGATGGTATGTTGCATATTCATTAGTCCTCAAATGGAGAAGGCTCAGCAGACAGAAAATAACATTAGAACAATGCAACCTATTTAAATACAAGGAGTCTCATGTTACACTGGGTGGCTGTGTTTGTCAGTCTGGTGCATGTTTGGCTAGAAAGCATTTGTCCTTCACTCTGTGAAGTGACCAGAGGTGGGCAAACTAGCATGAATCTGCACTGAAGGATGTTAATATTACTCGTGAAAATAAAAAAATAAATAAAATAAAATAAACTCTTAAAGGTTCATCTCTATTGGCAAGCTAGGCAAGAATTTCATGTATCAGACAGGATGGAGGAACTGATTAGATCCACAGGTCAGGTGGGAGAATCTGTTGACAGGACAGATATTAACAGAGGATAGAGAGAGGAAGTGTGGAGGACACAAAAATCATGTAAAAAAAAACAGAAGGTGCTCTGGTCAGATGGGACTAAAACTAAACATTTAGGCTGTTTTGGAAATCAATAAAATCTATTAAGTAAGGAGAATTGCTTTTGTGTCTTCATAGCTTATCGCCACTCCATGCGATGCGTACAGGTTCAACAGAGTTCAAGCCCCTGAAAAAGTAATCACAAAATCACTGAAGTTTTTTCCCTTCCCTCGCTTATCTCCTTTCCTCATGTGTGCCCTCCTGCGCACGTATAGACAAAGCAAATAAAACTGTATCAATGTAGAGAAATCATGCAAGTCAATTTCATACGTAGTGAAAAACTACCACCCCTTAAAACATTGTGCCTTCTTTGAAATGTGGCGATAGCACCATGCTGTGGGAAGGTTTTTCTTCAGGTAAGCTGGTCAGAGTTGATGGCAAGAAAGGTAAAACCGAATGCAGTGAAATCCAAAAGAAAATCTGTTAGAGGTTGCAAAAGATTTGAGTCTAGGTTGGAAGTTTTACTTTTCCACGAAACAGTGACCCTGAGTATATTCTGAAGCGACAGCTAAAATATCTTAGAATCTTTGGTGAAACTAAATGTTTTTTTCTTACAGATCCTCTCTGATCAATCTGACTGAGCTTGGGCTATTTTGCAAAGAAAGTAGTTTTCTCTAAACAGAAAACTACTCAGACAGACTCGAATACACGTGCAGGCAACAAGGTCCCCAAATACACAGTATATACACAGTAAAAATCCCAAGAAAATAGACTGAAGTTCTTACTTACATGAGAAAAGAGTTTTCTTTAGTTTTACAGATTTAGGTTTGTAAATCTACAATCAGACCTTGTCTTTTTTTAAAACAGTTGGCTAGGAGAAGAAAATCTGAAAATTTCGCCTCACAGCATCAAACTCCAGGACTTTATCTGGCGAGTCTCCGATATTCTTTGCGTGAGCCGTCATTCCCAGGTCAGGTGGTTGACCCCGGGATTCAACGCCCCTCGCTGCTCCACCACTCCAGCCCTCCCTGAGGTGTCTCTTGTCTTTGATTCACGCTCTTATCTTGGCAGCGCATACAGTGAGGCGGACCGCACGGACACGGGTCGCAGGACCAATCGCACGTACTGATCTCGGTGAATTATTGAAATTGCCGAGAGCAAGAGGAGCACACAACCTTTACGTGTTACGTGACAGGAATGGTGGGTCAGGCAGCAGCGGCTTCAGATCAGGCAGTCGCTTAGACTGGACAAAAATGTAATTTGCTCTCATGTATCTGATTTTATTGTAATGGCTGGAATAGTGATTTGGTAATGACCTGGTGTCCATCTTGCACTCTCTGCAGCTCAGATTAATGAAATCACAATGAGCGCAGGGCTCATGTGCCCTAAATGAATCGCGCAGATCCTTTTCATCCACCATTATTGTGATAAAGAGCGTGTATTTGTGGAGGCGTTGACACAAGGCAGCAGAAGAAAAAGACACGCTACAGTGAGGGTGTCTGAATTTCACAAATACGAGAGCTAAAGGTAACAGGGTGGAAATCAATTACATGCTTGGTTCACCTAATTGATATCCACCTGGGCATGAACATAGATAACACCCACAGCAATATTCACACAGTGAAGCATGTATTCATGGCAACTAAACAAATTTCACTAAATACACAAAATGCCACTATCTCCAGTGAAGGCAAACTGTTAATTAGAGCACATTTTGAATTAAAATGTATTCTGCTTTACTGTAAAGCCGCTTGTAAAAGTGTTTATCAGTTCCTTTGCATTTTGTCACTTTACAGCTATATTTTAAAGTTAGATTTTAAACAGACAAACTTGTTTAAAAGCAGAGGAGAGGATATATCAAGAGGAGCAGACAATGTGCCTTTCGTAACTCTGGAGGAGCTGCAGAAACCCAGGCCTCGGGTGAAAGTATGTGTATTTTCACGGGTGAATGAGCCATTATGTAGTTTTTTGCACAAATGTTTTCTAACCTCTGAGGGATCAAAAACAGCTTTGCTTATGCTGAAGTTAAATGACACAGGTGAGCTCTATCTTCTAATGAAGTACTGGAAAGCAAGCGGAGGCTCTGTATTTTATATGGTGGCATCAAACCATGTCAAACACAATACAAACAAAACTTTGTGAAAAGTTTCAAGAAGTATGAAAACTTAAGCAACTAAACTTAACTGATTTGAAGGTATTAAGTAGTTTCCTGAGGATCTTAAATCTCTTTTTGAGTCATAGTATCGAAGAAAACAATTCTGTCAAACAAATTGGTTTGGTGTTACACAGATTTCGCAATAAATCTTTTTAAGTCTGCTGTATTTTGAGTATTGTCCAACCTTTATCTAAACCACACAAAACTCACTTTCTTTTTACTGTAGATGTTATCAGTTCACACAA